GCACAATGGTAACACTTAACCACTCGATAACCACTCTGCGGAAGTGCCACTGCCGCGACCCAGCGCTGAAAATCCCTCATCCGTAGAAGCCCCAAATGTACCACCGATATTACTGACGGCATCAGGCCAAGCAGGCGAAGGCATAGTCTGAACGACTCAGCCTTTCCCAGACCGAAGAGGGAGAGGCACTGTGTGAGGGACGCTACTCTCGCCTCTGTCAGCGAGACGCGATAGGAGACGGAGTTTATGTTGAGACCCAAGTAATCTGTACACTGCGCCGGGTCGACTCGACTCTTCGTCCAGTTTATATTGAACCCCAGATCCGTGAGATGATTTATCACCGTAGTGGAATCTTTGACCGCCTGCTCCCGTGACCAGGAGCATATCAGATAATCGTCTATGTACGCGAAAATCCTGATGCCGCTGTTCCGTAACGGAGCTAAAGCGGCTTCCACACACCTGCTGAACACCCGTAGGGCTAATGAGAGCCCGAATGGGATGGCTTGGTACTCGTAGGCTTTGCCCTGATAAGCAAACCTGAGAAACCTCCGGTGCGCTTGATAAATGGCGATATGAAAATAAGCGTCCGAGAGATCGATTGTTACAAACCAATTCCCCGGACGTATTGAACGACAGAGCCCCTTGTGGGTTAACATCCTGAACGTGTACTTGCGTAAGTGCCTGTTTAACACACTGAGATCTAAAATGGGGCGGAGGGAAGTATTCCCCTTCTTTGGAATGAGGAAGTAGCGGGAGTAAAAACCCCGCTGAGCTTCCTCGCTCGGGACAGCTCGGATCGCCTGTTTGTTCAACAGCGATGTTATTTCGCCCTCTAGGACTCGAGCTGAATCGCCCTTGGCTACTGAAACTAACACCCCGTTGAATCTGGGTGGCTTCATAGCGAATTGTAGTCTGTACCCCTGAGAAATAGTTGATAAGACCCACGGTTGCACTGTGCATGCACGCCACCGTTCCGCCCGACCAGTGAGTGGGCTGAACGCACCGTACGGTGACGTCACTTCTCTCACCTGGAGGACGCGGCCTCCCCTCGGTGGAGCGTGAGCTCCCCCTGTGGGGATTATGGGGCCATAACATGGATTTGTTTTTATAATGTATTTCGCCTTCGGCCTTCGGCCTGGCTGCGAGAATACAAACTTTATAACTTTGTTTGAGGTGGGAAGAAGTGCTTGGTGACACTGTGTTAGCCGCCCCTGATACTCCCTCCCTTGAACGTGAGGGGGGAGAAACATCAAAAGCTCCTCTGGAGAACTGGAAAACACCAGGGAATTTGGAATACAAACTCGGGGGGGTTGTCTCACCTCCACCTCCCTTCTTTTCTTTGAAGGTGGAGGGGAGGGAAAAGCAAGGCCGGTTAGGACGTGCGCTTCTTCTTCCCTTCCCCGGGGTTGGATGGGCGGTTCTTTGCTGCAGCGGCTGCAAAGGAGTGTTTGCCCCATGGTTTGGGGTTTTCCACTCGAGGCTGCTGGACAGTCTCCTGACTCGCTGCCTGTCTGTGCGGTCTGGCGCCACCCCGGGCCCCTCTCACAGCTGCAGCTGCAAAACCAGCCCTGGGCACCTGCGGGGTGCGAGGGATGTGTTTTCGGGGCAAACAGAGGTTGAAGGCTTCGGCCTCTTGTTTCCTGAGGGTGCTGGCCTCCCTCATCTTTTCAAGAGCCGGGCCAAACAAACCCTTAGCTGGGTCATAAGCAGCATCCATCACTTCCGCCTTGTGCACATCGCTGAGGCCCGAAAGATTCAGCCATAGGGCCCTCTCGCCTGAGACCGCAAGTCCCATCACATGGCCGCAGCCCTGCACCGCGGGATGAGATCATTTACTACGCAAATCTCATCCCACAGGGCCGGGTTTGGTGACCCAGAGTCCAGTTGTCTGCCCATCTCCTCTAAGATTTCTCCCTGGTACGCAGACAGCAAAGTCACCGTGTTTCGCGAACACACTGACTGTGCCGCATAGCGGTACATTCTCTGCAAAACAGGCGGTGAGGCGCTCTGTTTCATTAGGCAGGGTGATGTTAGAGGAAGCTGAGAGAGAGCGGCGGCTTGGGTGGAGGTGGTAAGCCACTGAAGGTTCTACCTCTGGTGGGCCTGCTAGGCCCAGCTCTCCCATCCCATCAACTTCCAGTTTAGAGTAGCCCTTGGTGGGGAGCTTACTCTTGAACGGGCTGGACCAGTACCTGCCCATCTCCTTCATGCAGATGGGCACGGCTGGCAGAAGTTGTTTAGACGGCGGTAGGGTTGGCGGAAGCCTTTTACCGTCGCACAGGTCTCTTTTCCCCCCTGTAGCATCTTGGGCTGCTGGCCATTGTATGCCCAATTTTGACGCGGCCCGTTTGCAGACCTCATACAGGTTGTTGTCATTGGGGGACAACATCAGATGCACTAGGGGGTCTGGGTGGTTCGACAGGAAAAGTGGAGTCATCCTCCTCCTCTTCCATGTCGCCCACGTCAAGGAGGTCAGAGTTGGCATTGCCCTCTGCGTCCTCACCACCCGGCTCCAGTTCGAGCAGGTCCTCGAAAAGTGGAGGCATTTCCGGGGACTCAGCATCCATCATGTCCGCCCAGCTCGAAGAAGCTCGCGGCAGGTGGGCGCTGGTCGGGGCTTTTGGGGCAGTACCAGACAGGCACGGGTCCTGCTTTGAGGATGCCGCCACTCTAAGCCGTCTTTCCCGAATCTTCTCAGGCATTGGCTCACAGTGTAGACAGGACTGTGGGTCCGTCAGAGTCGCGTGGGCGTGTTTAGCGCCCATGCAGGCTATGCACATCGGATGAGGGTCCCTGCCCGAGATGGACGCCCCGCATGACGCAGGGCACGGGCGGGATGCAGCCTCTTTGGCTTTCAGCTCTGACCCTTTGGCGGGGGTAGCGGCCGACATAGCAACTGAGAAGAGAGGGGAATACACCACAATTAGCCGAGCCTAGCGTTAGCTTAGCTTGACGGTAAATTGTTTCAGGTAACCGGGGGTTAAACCCGCCAACCGCGCACCGTAACAGTTTGCTTGTCGTGACACGTTAGCGAAACAACGGTTACTCGGCTCGACTAGCACTAATGCTAACCGAGACCCGGCAGGCTCGCCGTAACGCGTTAGCCCGATACAATAGATAATACACAGTCACCGAAGGCACAGGTAATCAAATACCGAGCCGTCGGGAGAACAGTTCGCCTTGACGCGGACACTGCCCTAATACTGTGTAGTAACCAGATATACTTCTATGAAGTCACCTACCCAGCAAACCCAGACTACAGCCAGGAGCTGCGTTCGGCGACGCGTCCTAATGGGTCGTCTGCGAACTGTTAAGCAGCAATCCAAGCTAGCCAAGCTAAGCTGAGGGAGCTATAGTTCTTCACGGGAAGAAAACGAGAATGATTTGCGAGGGGCGGTCGACTGTGATAATATGAGGGGGCGGGGCCCCAGCACAGTTCGACCTGTCTGTCACTGACAGACGAGGTGTCATTGGAGCTTCCTTAGTTGGTCACGCCGAGGCAATTCCCATAGTGAAACACCGAACAAAGTTAGAAAAAGAAATTGCCGCATCCAAAGCAGTCTGCCAAAGTTTGGCTCCACTGGTTGTCTGGTTGGCTGCATCAATGATGTGTGACGCCATGAAGAGGTACTTCAGACTCGTAGTACTCCGGTGATAAGATCATTCCAGTTTGCAGGTTAGCTTTTAATTAATCGACTACGCAGTCTGGTAGAGAATCAAAATAAAAAGGTCCATTTTAAAGTGCAGTTCCTTTCTCCATTCTCTGGGTTAATGTGTGCAGCAGTGTCAAGCCCGTCCTGATGTAAGAATACGTGTTCAAGAATTGGAGCCTGGTCGGGGTTATCAAAAATTCAGCCCAACGACTTCTCTTCTATTGGGAAATTTATTTGTCAGATCACAGATCAAGTATCAGCGCTGCGTTTGCAAAGGCAGGAGCAGTTCAGGCAGCACACAGGCCGGAAGAACAACTTACATCAGCAAGAACATCATGTTTTATAACCCTTGAAAGACAGAAGGAAAGATTTCTATTGGCCCTAAACTGGCGTAGAGGAGGACCTTCCACCTCCCGCATCTAAAGATCCGGTCACATCCAATGTCCAGACTCCTGACTTAATGTAAACATCAGCGAACAGGCTGAGTGTGTATGTTGAATAGTGTTAGTGTGTCTCTAACCCCCCTTTGGCTGGTAAATCTGCTAGTTGACCCGCAGACCTTGCATTCCTCAGCCAGGACAGAAACTGACTCCCCATCTTGTCAGCCTCGTGTCTGCCTGCTCCTTACCTAACTCTTAAATCAAGACAGAGAACCCCCAACTAAGCCCATGAAAATAACTTTTAATTATCACCGATGTAAAATAAAATGCTGCCAACGCATGTTAAAATGATTGTTTGAGTGAAAAGTACATTTGGAACGACGGCAGAGCAGCTGTGTGTGATGTGAAATGATGAGGACTCAGAGTGGTTTGTTTTCACATTTTTACTGCAAGTTTTTCTTGTACATGTTTCGTTACCTTCTGGATGTTGAACTCATTCGTTCTTTTTAACTGTTTTTATAGGAACCTTAAATGATCAGCAAGGAAGCAGAAGACAGAAGCGACGCCGGGTAAATTTTAAAAGGGGAAGTAGATTTTACCAAAGACTCCTTCATTCTTTTGGGGAAGTAACTATTCAACATGAGCGACACCAACTCAATGAAGAGTATTAACATGAACGTAGAGCTACAAGTGATGATGGAGGAAGCTGCAACACGATGAGGTTGTGTACAATTATTAGTTCAGCTGAACAACTGTTCATACAAGACTAAACGTGTATTTGATTGTGAAAAAATAAGTAAGGCTGTTTTATTAAATTGTGTTTTCAGTAGGTGTAGTGGCTATTTGTCCATAAACTTAACCAAAAACTAATAATAACAAACTTCTCAAATGGCCACTCGAGGCTACGTCATGGTTAGGCTTTACGCAGGTTCAGAGGTACCAAAGCAAAGTAATGTCCATAACAAGATTGAGTTTGAGGCGGTTTATTCACACACATAAGCAAGCTCACAGACATTTCTGCTGCCTCTCTCACGCTGGTAAAAAACCATATGCCCTCGTGCCTGAAGTACCTCCCACCTTGACCTACTTATGCAAATGAACATAACACCATGTGACCAATAAACGACAATACGAGTAAAGCATAAATACCAAATACACCAAATTAACTTTAACAGGAAAAGAAAAAGAAATAAGTAAGGCTATAAATTAACTTAAACCCAAAATAAACAAAAATAAAAATATAGCTCCAACAACCCAGCCCCTAATTGTAACGGTACTTTACCCACAATTAACCTTAGCTTTAACACAAAGGAGCTATTTTCTAATTGTAGCTTAAGCATTTAAACTGGAATCTTCACATCTTCGGATTCTCCATATCTGAAAGAAACAAACAGATGGAAGACAGAGATAGGAGAAAGAATGAGTTGTATAGTCAATTATTAGCCTCCAAGAGAAGACAGAGCTTGGTTATTGGTCTGTCCAGGACGCTGATCTTCGTTTGGACCTTCACAGAGCGAACCAGTCCTCGGGAGTCAGCTATGGCGCTTAGCACTCTGCCCATCATCCATGAGCCTCTTGGAGCTGTGGCATCAGCGATTACGACAATATCTCCTGGAATAAAGTTTCTCTTTTGCTTCGTCCATTTTTGCCTTTCTTGCATTACAAGCAAATACTCCGCTGTCCATCTTTTCCAGAAAAGCTCCGCAACGTACTGCACTTGCCTCCATCTCCTCTTAATGTACAGATCAGATTTCTCAAACAGACCTAATGGCAGAATGGGCTTGCCTTTTAACAGGAGAATGTGATTTGGAGTAAGCGCTTCTAAATCATTGGGATCTTCTGAAGCCTTAGTTATTGGCCGGTCATTGAGTATCGCCTCCACCTCGCAAAACAGCGTTTGCAGGCCTTCCTCGTCCAGCAGTTGATGTCCAATAACAGAGGTAAGTACACTGCGCACAGAGCGAATCAGACGCTCCCAAACGCCACCTTGGTGAGATGCAGCTGGGGTGTTAAAACTCCACGTCATTCCTTCCTGCACAAAAGTCCTTTCAATTTTAGAGTGATTTAAAGCGGCCAATGCCTGCCTCAGTTCCTTCTTCGCACCAACAAAATTTGTGCCATTATCTGACCTTATACTTGTCACAGGTCCCCTTCTGCAGATAAATCTTCGCACAGCATTAATGCAGGAGTCTGTGTCGAGGGAGTGTGCCACCTCAAGGTGTACTGCGCGGCTACTCATACAGGTAAATATCACTCCATATCGCTTCAGCACAGTTCTCCCTCTCCTCACCTCCAATGGTCCAGAATAGTCCACTCCCGCATTTGTAAAGGGTGCGTTATCAGGCACAACTCGTTCCTCCGGTAAGTCGGACATCTTCTGTTCTCCAAGCTTTCCTCTGTACCTTCTGCACACTGTACATTGTGAGAGAATCTTCCTGGCCGCAGAGTTGGCATTTATGATCCAATACTTCTGTCTCAATCTGTGCAGCATGTAATTGCGTCCAGCATGTCCAAGTTGGCAATGGATGTAACGCAATATGAGCTGGGAAACATGCAAATCCTTTGACAGAATCACAGGATGCTTTACCTCCCACGGCAGAACAGACTTAAACAGACGTCCACCAACTCTGAGGATGCCATCTTCGATGAAGGGGTCGAGGCGATACAGAGGACTGTCTTTAAAAACAGTCTTTGGGTCATGTTTTAGTGAGGAAATTTCAGTACTGAATCTTTGGTTTTGCGCAAACTGAATTATTGCCTTTTCGGCTTCCTCCAACCGCTCTGGTGTCAAGTTGGATTTTCCAAGTGCGGCTTTGAATTTTTTAATCTCCTTTTCCACATTCTCATTCTGGTTGACCACATATTCTTTTCTCTTTCGGCTCAAAAGTAAAAGTCTTTCTTTCAGCTCCAACAGCCAGGCCACTGATGTTTTAAGCTTTCTCCAGGATGAAAAATAGTGAATGAGCTGACTGAGGGGATTGTCACTGTGTATTGTAACAGCATTCACCTTAAGTTCCCTTTTCACCTCTGCATCATCCGATGGAATGGAAGAGGCGTCCAAGTCGAGTTTCGGCCATCTGGTGGGGGGCAAGTGCAAAAAGTCCGGTCCTTTTAGCCATTTTCCTTTTCCAAACTCCTGAGCTCTTAGTCCTCGAGAAGCTTCATCTGCAGGATTGTCTTTGGTGTTTACATACCTCCACTGATCTTTGTCTGTGGATTCTCTTATGGTGCTGACACGATTGGCAACATATGTGTGAAAGCGCTTTGTTTCATTAAAGATGTACTTGAGAACAGTAGTGCTATCGGTCCAAAAGAATGACCTTTGCAATGGCAACTGTAGCTCTTTCAACAGCATTGTGTTCACTCGAACAGCAAGCACAGCTGCAGCAAGCTCAAGGCGTGGAATGGTTAGTTGCTTTAGAGGAGCGACACGAGCTTTGCCTGTGATAAATGAAACATGCACATTGTCAGTGCTCTCCAATCTCAAGTATGAAACCGTGCCATATCCTATTTGACTAGCATCTGAAAAATGATGCAGTTCTGCTTTCAATTGTGTTCCAAAGTTTTTGGGTTTAATGCACCGTTCCACTTTAAATCCACTCATATGTTGAAGTTCAGAGAGCCACTCAGACCAATGTTCAGAGACATCACAGGGAACTGGCTCATCCCATTTGAAGTTCATTCTGCACAGCTCCTGTAACAGTAACTTGGCAGGGATTATGAAAGGAGAAAAAACCCAGCGGGTCGTAAAGAGAGCTCACCACAGAAAGGATGCCCCTCCTAGTGTGTGGACGTTCCTGCACTGCAGTCCTGAAGCTGAACGTATCTCCTTGAACACACCATTGCATCCCCAGAGCTCTTTCCACAGGGAGTTGGTCCCTGTCCAAATCCATGTTCTCCAAACCCACTGCTCTGATGTTGCTAGGAATAAGTGCAAACACATTTGAGTTATTTGTGACCCACTTTTGGAGATGGAAGCCACCTTTTTTACAGAGATGTTAATCCATGTATGAGCTTCACTGCATCTTCCTCTGTCACAGTGGACTTAAGACAGTCGTCCACGTAGAAATTTGTCTTGACTGTACGAAGGACATCGGGTGAATATTGCAGTGCATTATCCTCAGCAGTTCTCCTCAGTGCATAGTTTGAGCAGCTTGGAGAGGATACAGCTCCAAACAAATGCACGCACATCCTGTATTCCTCTGGCTCCGCTGTAGCGTCTCCATTGGGCCACCATAGAAAGCGCAAGAAGTTAACGTGCTTATATGGCACCCGGACCTGATGGAACATGGCGTTGATATCAGCCATAACAGCGATGGGCTCTTCTCTAAACCGAAGAAGGACACCAATTAGCGTGTTAGTGAAGTCTGGGCCCTGCAAGAGCTGACTGTTCAATGATGTACCTTTGTAGATACAGCCGCAATCAAACACAACACGCAACTTTCCTTTGGTTGGATGATGTACACCATGGTGGGGAATGTACCACACCTTTCCTTGTTCCAGAGTGGGCTCATTTGTGGGAACCTTTTCTGCATATCCTTGCTCTAACATGTTGTTAAGGAAATCAACGTATTGAGCCTTGAATGAACTATTTCTATTAAATCTCCTCTTCAGGCTTTGGAGTCTTTGTAGTGCAATGCAGCGATTATTTGGCAAAACAGGATCGTCAATTCTGAAAGGTAAGTCAATGTAATAATGTTCATTGTTAAGCACTGTCGTACTCTCCACAATTTTCATGAATTTAATGTCTTCTCTTGACATCTCAAGTTGTTCATCACTTGTTCTTTCAGTAAAGTCATGATTATACTGTTGCATCAACATACTTTCCAAGTGTTCCACAGATATGTGATTAGCAGTTACAACAATGCATCCTGATTTGACACCAGTACCTTCAGAGTTTCCAGCACGAAGAGGCCCGTTTATGACCCAGCCAACTCTGGTCCTCACTGCATACGGTCCACCACATTGACTATTTATCAGTTCCCATGGCTCCAAAACTTTAGGCGAGTCGGTTCCAATGAGCAAGTCTACATCTGCATCTACTTCATGTAGCCTAATGCTGCTCAAATACGCCCATTTGGCAACATCATCCTGACATGGCACATTGATTTTAGATACAGGCATTTTTGTTTGTGTCAGAACAGATGGTAGCTCAATAAAGTCATCGGTGTCAAATCCAGACACCTCCAGACCAGTTACTATAGTAGTGCTAATGGTTTTAGTCTGCCCCATTGTCCTCAACACTACATTACAGTTTTTTCCTGATACTCCCAGCCTTTCAGCCATACTTGTAGTACAGAAAGTCCCAGAGCTCCCGGGATCCAGGAAAGCATAAGTATGCACAACTTTATTACTTTTCCGACTTTTCACCTGCACAGCCACAATGGGAAAAACTGCAATATCCTCTTCACCAGCCCCAATATGACCACACGTCTGCTGCTTCCCGGATACAGTGCTCACAGTTTCTTTGGAGGTTATCCTTGTAGTATCCTCCTTCTCCACATGCAGGACAGATGGATGTTTCCTGTGACACACTTCACAATCCAACCGACCCCTACAGTCTTTGCTCGTGTGTCCATGTTTCAAGCACCCAAAACAAACGCCCTTCTCCTTTAGAAACTGAATCTTGTCCTGTTGTGTCTTTCTTCTAAACTGAAAGCATTTTTCCAGAGTGTGATTGGTAAGATAGCAGAACATACATTTGAGCTGGTTACTGTGAGCTGTCAAGTTTTCCATTTCTTTATGTCCATCCTTTGGTGCATTAATGCTGGTGGCAAATGTACCACTTTTCCTTTTCTGCTTAACTTGCATGGATAGCTTTGTATAGCTGGCTGGAGAAACATCATTAATATTTCCAAACAGAGGATCTGAAACAATTTTGACTTGTTTTTCAATGAAATTCACAAAATCAACATACACTGCTCTGCTTCCAGTTTGCTCCACTATGTCACATGCCACATTTCTCCACTTTTCCCTCAGCTTGTATGGGAGTTTCATTAGAATTGTCCTGAGGTTAGCTGGCATGTCCAACTCCTTCATGTACTTTATATGATGTACTATGTTGGAGCAACCTCGAAGGAACAAAGCGAATGACTGCAGAGCGTTAACATCCTCAGGTTTTATTGAGGGCCAGTTGTTGATTTTGTCCATGTAAGCAGAAGAGATTTTATGTTCGCTGCCAAAATGTTCAATCAAAAGCGCTTTTGCTCTTTGATAACCTGGTTCAGAGGGCATATGCTGACAACTTCTTACAATGTCTCTTGGTTGCCCCCTAGTGTACTGTTCTAGGAAGTACAGACAATCACTGAAATTTTGAGTTTTATCCTCAATGCAATTTTCAAAGGCTCTGAGAAAAGATTTGAAATACAGGGGATCACCATCAAATACAGGTATATTTCTCATAGGCAGAGCAGAGGCTGTGTTTTGTTGGACCAACAGCGCAGTTATTTCATTTTGACGCTGCATGATATTCAAAATGTCCGGAGAATTGGTGGGTTGATTATCGTCACAAACATCTTGCGAACCAAGTGATTGTGTACCTTGCCTTTGAAACACAGAAATGACATTAGGTATGGGTATTTGTTTTACAACATGTTTGGGTTGAACACCAACAGGGACAGAATTTAACAAGCGACTGGAGGTAGGTTCAGAGCTTTTATTGGTGGGCACATAGCGTTCAGCATTCGGATTTAGTTCATATGTCCCTTGAATTTCTGACCTTTTCAAGTAAGAATTCATGCCATCTGATGTTTGAGATGCACATCTTGACACTTTAGAGCCACACTTTGAGCTTACTTGCAGAACCTCCAATTTTGCATTTGTCACCTTTAATTCTGCCTCCAGAGCAAGTTGTTCCTTTTCTCTCCTTAAATGTTCCTTTTCTTTCTGTAAATTCCTCTTCCCGTTCCGTAATTCCTCTTGTTCAAGTCTTATTTGTTCCTCCTGCGCCTCCAAAGTGTGCTTTTGTTTTAGAGCAGCCATGCGCTCCTGTAATGCTGCTCTCTCTGCTTGCGCTAATATTTTTGCAGATGCACTGGATGAAATCCTTGACAATTTAGAGCCAGCCTTTGAACGCGCTGCAGAACCTTTATTGGATACACTGTCCTCAGGCCCAATATCAGTTTGATTATCAGGTGGTTTAATTGGAAGTTCATATGAATGGCCTGCATTTGATAACCAGCCTTTGACGTCATCAATAAAGCTTGAAAAACACTTCTTTTGTTCAAAATATTTATCTTGTTTCTCCTTCTCATCCTGAGGTATGTCCAGTGACACAAATGATAAATGATGTTGTTTTGCCTCATCAACACATATTATTATTTGATCCAAAAGAGACTTGACTGCATCAATATTGTCTGCAGAATGCATCAACTTATCCATCTGATTCATGTACGATTTGGCTCGTTTGCATTGCATCGATCTCTTTTCCTGACACGTTTGCATAAAAAACATCATTCCTTTAGCAGTAAAACTTGTGCGTCTTCTTGTAGGAAGCGCCGTGTCGCTTTTGGCTTTAGATGCAACGTCAGACATTTTACCCTTTGTTGATGCCGGTCATGTACACCCACAGTTGTTTGCAAAGATTGAATACAGCACATACCTTGTGGAACTTTGTTTGTTGCGGTGGTTGCCTTTGTACACGGAGTTGAATGCACGCAGTAGCTGTTGTTGCGCGCGGCCGTGCGCGTTACCTGTGAAGGCTTTGGGCCTTTGCGAACTCAAATTGCAGCAAATAATATCCTCCACTCCGTAGTGCAGCTCCAGCGCTCCAGTAGCTTCACCGTTATCCAGTACGGTGTCCAGGGAAACTTTACACTGTCGGATGGGTCGTATTATTCGATGTTTGCACTGTATCCAGCCCACACCTCCGTCACTCCTAGGCCCTTTCCTTTGTTTGTCTCCCGCATCCAGGTGAGTAATCCACTTTCGAAACGGTAATCCAGCAAACGACAAGTCCAGTATCCACGTAAACCAACGATATATCCAGGGCGGGTTTTTTACTTAATGTAGTGGCTATTTGTCCATAAACTTAAACAAAAACAAATAATAACAAACTTCTCAAATGGCCACTCGAGGCTACGTCATGGTTAGGCTTTACGCAGGTTCAGAGGTACCAAAGCAAAGTAATGTCCATAACAAGATTGAGTTTGAGGCGGTTTATTCACACACATAAGCAAGCTCACAGACATTTCTGCTGCCTCTCTCACGCTGATAAAAAAACCATATGCCCTCGTGCCTGAAGTACCTCCCACCTTGACCTACTTATGCAAATGAACATAACACCATGTGACCAATAAACGACAATACGAGTAAAGCATAAATACAAAATACACCAAATTAACTTTAACAGGAAAAGAAAAAGAAATAAGTAAGGCTATAAATTAACTTAAACCCAAAATAAACAAAAATAAAAATATAGCTCCAACAATTAGTTTGTTTCACAGGTGCTTCTGTTGCTTGTTATAAGGATTCACTTCTATTCATTACTGCACCAAAAGAGATGGAAACACTGACGGGATCTTGTTTGCAAATTCAGTGTAACTTCAGATTTAAACCAGGAGAAGAAAACAGAAACAAGTAGAAGTTAACTTTTAATATGGATATAAATATCTCGTGGGGGTTGTCGAGGCGCAGGGGGTAGAGAGGGTGTGCTGGGAACCGCAAGGTTGGTAGTTCGAGTCCCGACTGCCCCATGTCTCAAGTCGAAGTGTCCCTGAGCAAGATACCTAACCCCTAATTGCTCACTGGGCAAAATGTGAAAAGCCATGGGTTTAAAGTGTAATGTAAGTCGCTTTGGATAAAAGCGTCTGCTAAATGACCTGTAATGTAATGTAACCTACAGACACCAACCAGGGAATGAAATGTTTACACTTCCTGGATATGAATGAATTTTTTTTTCACTACTATTAATAATCCCGTGGGAAAGCTGCCTGTACATGACATTTGTATTCTGAAAACACTGCAACACTTGAAAAAAGGGAAGTTAGAAAACTCTTGTGGACTATTTACCATCAGTTTTTCACAACCTTAGTTAGTGAAAATTCTATGAAATATGACGAGTCGTGAGGTGATTGGTGGGAAAAGAAAAGAGAAAAAATGTTCTGCTGCACATACGACTTCATATTTGTGACTTTTCTCTAATCTTTGCTTCATTATAAAGTAGTGGAATTATTAAATGAAGACATGTGAGAAGTTCAGAGGGGAAATGTGGATGAATCTGCTGACATTCAGTAAAAGTACAGTATTTACATCACCTGTTCTGCCAGATATCCTGTGAATGAAGGAAAAGAGTCAAACCTCCTGTGAGCCGCTTCACCTGCTTCAAGACCAGCAGAGATGCAACAATCAAAGTATCTGAAGGAGACGTTTGCAGCTTTAATGTCTCTGATGGAGGAGTTTTATTACTGTGTGGCCACCAATCAGCTTGGTGATTTAAATCCATTTCTTCAATTAAATTTATAAAATTTTATTTAATCATTGGCTGGTGAATTAATGGTATTTTTCCAGAGTTTTGTAGTTTTAGTACAATAAAAGTGTGTGAATTCTATTTTATTTGCCATTTGCAGGAACACCAGCAGTGATGTTTGTCTCCACCTCCCAGTTCCTCCTCCTTCCTCTCACAGACCATCTTGGTTCAAAGACCTGTGACTTCTGCATTGAACTTGTCAGACAGCAGACTGCACTGAAGAAGAAACACTCACTCAATGTAAGTTAATGTCACCTTCAATACTTCATTTTAGTAGCACAGCAAAAAGAGGAAACTGTCTTTTATTACTAAAATATCATCGTTACGAGAGATTTAATTCTAATTATTCACCAACAATTTTACTGATTGCCTGATGTATCAATGCAGAGAGAAGTTTAATAGACATTAGAGATGAAGAGGAAGTAGAAACTATGAATGAGGAAATGTTTTGACTATTGGTCATTTATTTAAAGTTTATTAAAGCAATAAGGTACGAGAGGCTGTACTTTATCGTCCAATAACAGTTCGGGGGTGTTGTTGGGCCCGACGAGCAGCGGGCCGTCCCGCACCATCTCATTCATTCACATCATGACGTCCACCTTAATTGTCCGGTTGCTAAAGCTCGAATTGCCCGAAAACGATCATTTGTGGGATTTCTGTTTTTTTTTCGGCGAGCAAAATCTAACCTGCTACTTTGACTGCGCAGTGATACGGAACACTCGGATCAATGTGAACAGCAACTGTACATTATAGATCAATGATGTACCCTCGTGACTCACTGTCAACCAATCAGAACGCTGGATTTCATCTATCCGTTTTATAAATGTTAATAACACAATAAGTGTGTGAGGTTCATCAGTCCTGTAATGCAGAGCAACAGAGACTCAGAGTTATTCACAGTGACTAAACTCAAGTCACTGACTGTTAATGCTACATTATTATTATTGTGATGTGTGTGATACATAAAGATGATATAGACTCACGGATATGAGCAGTTAAGGGGAGAACTCTGCTAAAACAAAGACCTGCACTTGATCTAATTGTCCCTCTGTTATGGACGTGGGCTTCTTTGGTAAGAGGGAGACATTCATAGTTTTATTCTCATCCAACACTCAGAGTCGTACTCGTCCACAGACTTGTGAGCTGTGGTCTCTTCACACACAGGAACTTGTGGTTGCACACAGCATGTTGAACGCTTCCTAGAACACTGATGTTGTGTTTGTGAATCAGGTGGTGAGTGTCATGGCCGACCAGTCTGTTAGGATGGTGACAGCCATCGTGTTGCACAGTGTCTTCTTCCTCTCAGGTGAGCTTCATCTTCACTCACTTGTGTTTCACTTCAATCATTTACTGTTTGAAAAATATCATTTCAACCTAAATTCATGTGAATGTTACAATCTGTGTTTTCCTGCTGAACTCTTTTATCACGGAGACAAAAGTGACGTAGTTATTTGGAGACAGAGACGGGTTTGGTCCCACTGGGCTCGGCCTTGTGGGGGAAAGTTGTAAAACCAAAAAGATGAATCAACACAAAAACTGTTGAGGGAAAAAAAGAACACAACACAAAACATTACTGCTGAAGTATATTTCTCTTTGTGTTCATGTTATTGTTGTGTTTTTACACATTTTAATCACCACTGTTAATCATTAGTTTGTTTCACAGGTTCTTCTGCTGCTTGTTCTGAGGATTCAGGTCTAAACATCACTGCACCAAAAGAGATGGAAGCACTGACTGGATCTTGTTTGCAAATTCCATGTAACTTCAGTGTTAAACAAGGAGAGAAATTAAACAGCACAACGACAACCTTTGGAGTGTGGATTAAAAATGACTCTCGCTTTGGCATGTTTCCAAATAATGTGGTTTTCAACAGTAGTGGGACAGTTTCCACATATCTGATGAGTTTTACTGGAGACGTGAGTCAGAAAAACTGCACCACTTTATTTTCCAGTTTAAAAACAACATACACAGACACATACTACTTCAGGGTTGAGAACCGGCCATTTCTAGCAACAGCTCAATGTTATCCACTTCAAATAACAGTGAAAGGTAAGAGACTTTTGTTTTCCATAAAACAATCTGAGATGTTACTACTTAAGGCTGCGCACGCTTCTGCGTCTGCTTCTGCGTCGTTGCGTCGACGCACTCGCTTCAATTCATGGTTCTAAAAGTCTTGCGTGTCTTGCAGAGCAATTCACCGCCAGAACAACAGGCGGAGTAACGTGTTTCTGTTGAAGACGACTTAGAGAGTCACGTCTCTGTGTGTGGAAGTTGTTGGTTTGTTTATTTATTTATCATGCACTTTATTGCCACGTGCATCGACACTGTTGCTTTTCATCGCGGACACATTTGTCGTATTTTCCTCCACAACTTTGTGCAGCTCTCGACCGGCAAACCGGCGTTTGCGGAGATCTCCCTCCATGAATCCAACCCGGGTCATATTTACACATTTCTTCCGACAAAAGTTCTTCAATCTGATCCGTTCTCTCGTAAACATTCTTCGTTTTAATAATGGCGGTATCGGGCTATGAAATGTGAGACTCCGTAAAGGACGTAGTTAGCGGACCAATCGCAGCCTGGTGCGCTGCGGCACTTTCGACGCAAGCCTAGAAAAATGGGTCGACACACGCAAGGACGCAAGGAGGTGTGAAAAGGCAGAAGCTTAAACTAGGCTTTAATCAGGCTTAAGAGTCTATTTGTTTCTGTTTTATTCAACTTTTAATGTGAATATAAATATCTACAGACACCAACCAGGGATTGAAATGTTTACACTTTTTGTTCACTACTATTACTAATCCCTGGAGAAAACTGCCTGTACATGCCGACTTTTTATTCATTGCTTAGAAGGGTAGAAGTTACAAAAGTTCAGTTTTTTGTACTATTTACCATCAGAGTTTTGACAACATTAATTAATGAAAGTTAACATTCAATTTTCCCCTATAGGGTCGCAAATTAAATCTGAGGGGTCGTGAGGTAATTGGTGGGAAAAGAAAAGAGAAAAAAAGTTCTGCTAGTATATATTTTGGACTTTTCTCTAATCTTTGATTCATTATGAAGTAGTGTAATTATTGAATGAAGCCATGTGAGAAGTTCAGAGGGGAAATGTTGATGAATCTGCTGACATTCAGAAACATCAGAAAAATGACGAGAAGCCAGAAACAAACACATTATTTAACAAACAAAGAAAAACAATTCATAATCCAACATCTGTGTGTGTGTGTGTGTGTGTGTGTGTGTGTGTGTGTGTGTGTGTGTGTGTGTGTGTGTGTGTGTGCGTGTCGTTCGTTTTCTCCGCTGGACAAAGAAGTCGCCTTTGCTCAAGATGCCACTTTATTGATCACTGACACAAATACTGGTACCGTCACTGCAGTTTAGCCTGAATAAGTCCACTGCATTGTGAGTGTCAAGTGCGCTGTTTTAAGCGTTGTTTCGTGTGCGTTCCGGGACCCCCCCGCCCCCCATGTCACTCACATGCATGCCGGATTCTCTGGACAGACACACACTAGGAAACCAGAACATCAAAACATGGAGGTGGAGGCCACAGAATATCGTCTCGAGGGCCGCAATTGGCAAAATGATTAATTATTAAATGAAGCCATGTGAGACGTTCAGAGGAGAAATGTCGATGAATCTGCTGACATTCAGAAAACATTAGAACACAACAAACACATTGTTTAATAAACGATTCATAATCCAACATCTGATCTTGGTGTAAAAGTAAAAAAAAATGCTCTCAAATGTAGAAGACTACTTTTATCACAGACTGTAGACTCAAGTCTTGTTGCTCTTTTTTCAGTGTACAATCTGTATTTGATTTGAAACCACAGATTCTCCTCCAAAGCCCAGGATTGAGATCTCAGGTGATGTGAAGGAGAAGGAGTCTGTCTCTATAAGCTGCTCAGCTTCCACTCCCTGTCCACACTCTCCTCCTCAACTCACCTGCAACCTCCAACCAGACTCTCACCACATGATGGAGGAAAACACAGATGGAACCTTCACAACTAGAATCCAGAAGAGCATCACTCTGTCACATGAACATGATGGATTCATCATCAGCTGTTCTGCCAGATATCCTGTGAATGAAGGAAAACATGTAAAGACGTCAGAGGAGAGAAAGACTCTCAGTGTTTCATGTGAGTGTTTGTTCTTTGATCCTGTCAGCATACGTTGATTCATGTGTTCACACTATGTCAGCTGCTTAAAGTTTTAATGTCACATTTTCCTCAGATGCTCCCAAGAACACCTCGGTGTCCATCAGTCCATCATGTTGGGTGTCAGCAGGTAGCCGGGTGAACCTGACCTGCTCCAGCAGAGCCAAACCTCCTGTGAGCCGCTTCACCTGGTTCAAGACCAGCAGAGATGCACCAATCAAAGTATCTGAAGGAGACTTTTACAGCCTCAATGTCACTGATGGAGGAGTTTATTACTGTGTGGCCACCAATCAGCTTGGTAATCAAACATCATCAGAGATCCATCTGACTATAGAAGGTAACTAATAAAGGTACTTCAGCAATCAATATTGTTACATTCCCATAGTGTCTTTATTTAGTCACTGTTGTTTTTTTCATCTTGTCTTGAGGTGCAGTTAATTATCCACTATTGGGTGCAGTTCTTGGAGGAATCATTGGGATCATCGTGCTCATCGGCCTGGTTGTCTTTGTTTGGTCAGTAGCATCAGTAAAGAATGTGTATTCAATGAAATGTGGTCTTTTTTTGGTACTCTGTGTATTAGACCCAACATTTTGTCTTGCAGGCGTTTGAAGTCTCCACATCCAACTGCACATCAGAGTCAGGTGAGAACACACCAAACAACTCAGTGTGGTTTTGTTATTTGGAATCAAGCGGCTTCCACAATCACTTCCTGTTTACTTCATTTATTCTTTCAAGCAGAATCAGCCTGTTGGAGAGACAGTGACAACAGAAGGAGGAGACGTCCACTATGGAGAGATTAACTTCTTGAGGCTCAGATCTGGACCGTCCTCGGTCTCGGAGCAGGACGGTGGACAGCAGGAGGACATGCTGTATGCGCAGGTCAAAGTGTCCAAGGCAGCAGACAACGTCACACGGACTGCTGGCGTCCCAGAGGATCTCTACGCTCAAGTGAAGAGAAAATGAGCCGTTTCTTGTGGTCACATTTGGGTGTTATTGTTTAGATGCTTTTTACATAAATAACAAGCTTCATCTGTAAGTTTATGGAGAAAAAGAATCGTAAGAAAATGTAATCTTCACTGCTCACAGTTAATTAAAGGGGAACTTCAAACCTCCACATCCTGCAGCACCCTGCAATTTCATACATTGTTGACATATTGAGGTATTCATGATTAGTATAAATAATAGTCCCACTGCTCTAAATAGAGTAAATAAGTATAAGTATTCTCAAAGAAAGCCCTGTTAATATATCAGCTTATGATTTTTTCTTTGTTGCATATTTTAAAAGGTGTCTTCAAAACTCATTGTTATCTTTTGGATTAATGTTTTATTGTTCTATTTCGTCTTCTTCAAAAGACAATTTACTGAATTTCAAGATATGTATTAATTGCAACGTAATAAAAAACATATACACGACTTAATCTCCGTTGCATTTTTTGGTCCACAATTTCAAATATTGTGTGCAAACATCATACAGCTTAAATCACAAACATTACACAAGTGTCAGAATGAATTATGCACAACAATTCCCACTTGATGGTCTTTTTATTAATTTATTTGAATGCAAAGCTTAACGAGAAATAGAAAGGTCCTTTCCTGAGACTCAGTCAATTGTATAATAAAATATCTGGTGCTAAAATACACTTTAAAAAAAGGTTAAAACTGTGTGACTTTTCTCAAAAGATAATCTTTGGGTTTCAGCATGAAAACATTAGCAGCCCAACAGTTGAGTTGTTTAACATCTCAAAGGCACAACAAGGTTGTGTTGATTGTGTTTTAGTGACATTAGCTTCTTTATGTTCAACGTCTGAGAAATCTGACCTTCATGTTGGGACAAACCTCCCTCCTCCCACCGGCATCCATTAGTGGAAAGTCACGTCCAAAGTTGCTGCAATGTAGACTTTTTATCTCTGACATTTCTATTCCTAACAGATTTCCCTTCATAAAAGAGAAAGATGAGTCACTGGTTGTGATTATTTTACACACACAAAGTTAACAGCCTGGCTATTGTTTTTATTTTATTTAAATGGAGCTTTCCATTTATCAGATCATTGAAATTCAAACAATTAAAATACTGACACAAACCATCTTTGACTGAGCAGCGAGTACTAGAACTCTCTAAAACCTGCATTTCAGTTCACAAACTTCTTGTAAAAACCAAATAGGGGTCAGATGTTTCTAAGCCAAATCCCAACCTGGTCCTCAGGGTTCATGTTTACATGAGTAAAACCAATAAGTGTGATTAGGGATCTAAGCTGTGTGTGTGTGTGTGTGTGTGTGTGTGTGTGTGTGTGTGTGTGTGTGTGTGTGTGTGTGTGTGTGTGTGTGTGTGTGTGTGTGTAGCTCCGCCTCCACCTTGCTGGGAGAAGTAGGCTCTCAACTCCTTCGTCTCCTTCTGCCAGAAAGACCTGGGCACGTCGAACAGGGCCCCCATATCCACATCGCTGCCCAGACCTTTGGTGTCGATGGCGCCATCCTCTGGCAGCCAGCCGATGATGCTCCTCTTGGCCGCCTTCTCCTCCCTCTCCCGGCCGCAGCGCTTGAAGATCCACTCCAGGGCGCGCGCGTTCTCGCCGAACCCGGGCCACAGGAAGGCGCTGTTCACCGGGTTCCTGAACCAGTTTACGTGGAAGATCTTGGGCAGGTGAGTGGGGGCCTTCCGGGTCTGCATGCTCAGCCAGTGAGCGAGGTAGTCGCCGAAGTTGTAACCGAAGAACGGCCGCATGGCGAAGGGGTCGTGCATGATCACCTTGCCTGGAGAATGAAGAAGGGGCTTTAGCAGTAGAAGGTCAGGTGATGCTCAGCAGCCGCCGTGGCTTCAGACCTCATAGAAGCTCCAATAAAGACTTTGCGTTGCCAATAGAAAGACTCGTACACCAGAGGGACTCCTACAAATCAATCATTGAACACATTTGATGCACGTTTAATTCAAGCAGAAAAGCACGCCTATAGCGTTTGAAACTATAACATGTGTGTGTCAGAACCGAGCGGGACTCAGACGCAGAGCAGGTGTAGGATGACAGTTTATTCATAGTACAGAGTACTAACAGATCCAAAAATAAGGTCACTCCAAAAGGAGGAAAACAAAGCTACTTATCTAAACCTAACTGAGACCTGACGCTGGAACAAAAAAGAGCTACAAAGAAAAATCACTCGAACGAGGTAAAACTGTGGTCACGAGACTAGAGAAACTATGACTATGGATCTTGGACACTGGCTGGTATGACGACGTAGGACGACACACTGGCACAAGACAAAGGGAGACGCAGACTATATGAACACATGGGGAAGCGGGAACAGGTGGACACAATCAGGAATCAGGAAGACAATCAGTCTGGTGACACATCAGGAAGAGCAAGGAACCTGAAACGAGAGTTAATTGCCAAAATAAAACAGGAAGTCACGAAAACAAACGTGGAGACACTTGACATACAGGTGTGATAGTGTGATCAGGACCAGTGGTAAAATCATAGTTTGTGTGGTTAAATAGTAGAATAATTTCTCTATTATGAATCAAACATATTGTATATTTTCAGTGATTGTTAACCATAGGGTACAAATTGAAGAGACCGGAGATATTGACGTTATTTATCCATGAGACGCTCTTTTGCTTCCCACCACTTGGTGGCTGTAACGCGTCCGTCAGTTGTTTAAACAGCTCCAATAAGCAGAAAAAAGACCGACAGCCGCCAAGCTGGTCTGTAAGTGAAAGTCATTAGAAATTTAAAATAAAAAATGAAGAGGAAGGTGGTGCCCAACAATACAATCCTGACTTCATTAAGTACGGATGTATAAACGGAGGTAATAAGGAGGTGTATAAGGAGAGAGCCCAGTGTGGAGTTTGGACCAACAACGAAGCACCAAAGCCGTCGAAATTAAAGCGGCATATGGAAACCAAACAGCCGGCGGATTTTTTTAAAAGAAAGAAAAATGGGCTACAGATGCAGAAAGATCCGAATGACTCGCAACTCTGAATCCGACCTGAAAGCCAGTCACCTCGTAGCCAGACGTGTGGCACAAGAAACCTTGTCGGTTCTACACGCCGCTGCGGATGTGCGCGTGAGACGATCACGTGTTGATCGCGTGAAGAAGATATGAAGAGCAACTGCTGGCTCTGTGATGTCAAAATATTGACTGCTGAAGCATTATTCAAATGAATTTGATTATAAGCTTATGAGGCTACATGTTGATTTGCACTTTGCACTAAAAAACTAAGCCAAAACAGAAAGAAAAGAGAAAAATAATTACATTTACGCAAAAACTATACTAGTAAAATATCGACAAACGGCTTAACCAAAGCTTAACGAAATCACAAATAAGCAAAATAACTAATAAGTACGGCCTGTCTCTTGTACACAGTTAAAATATGTCTTGACCCAGTTAGGAGGCCCACAGCGAAACACGCAAAAATTAGCAATGTGGGTAAAACAAAGCAGACCCCAAACAGGGTGAACTTGGCCAAAGCAGACCCCAAAGCCAAAGCAGTAGTGTTGTTACCTCCGGCCCTCCTGCTTCGAAGCTTGTGTCGAAATATGAACCAGTGCACGGCGAAGCAAATGTATCGGTGCTCGGTTCGTTCGCTGCTGATCACGTGATCAGTGACGTCCGAATCTTCATTCCGGCGCACAGTCACGTGACCGCTAAAATTTGATTCAAATGGGCTCAAAACAGGGCTTGTCGGTTTGATACAGTCAAAGTCAGTGTTGTTGTAGTAGTAGTAGCAAAGAGCAAATTTACAATGGAACCTGTGGCAGAGAGGTCGCTCCGAGATGTGGGAGCGCTCCAATTTGATTTCCTCTAACAAGGTTGGCAATAGGCAGGCAAAGTCTGTCATTTGTATTGTGTAATTATTAGGGCTGTCAAAAATAGCGCGTTAACGGCGTTAATTAGTTGTTTGTTGTTAATTACGTCAATTTTTCTAACACAATTCACGCATGCGCAGTGGGATAAATTATCAGGTCAGGAAAGTACCTCTTCCTCTAGGGCAGGGGTCTCAAACTCGCGGCCCGCGGGCCAATTGCGGCCCTCGGGACGATATTTTGTGGCCCCATCCTTAATATGAAAGTGTAGTGTTAGTGCGGCCCGCAAGTTTTATACTGTAACCCCACTGTCAGCTGCTGTGTGGGACATGTTATGATGTTCTGGTTTCCTACTGTGTGCTTGTCCAGTGAACGTGGCATGCATGTGACTGACATGGGGGGCGGGTCGTGTGTGTCGGCCGAGATGCAGAGAGCAGGAGGGTGAAATTCAGTTTCCTGCCCTCTTTCGCGCAGGTGATCATGTGACTAACCGTTAGCATCGCTCGTTTAATAAAGTTTTCCTTTACGACTCACACTAACAACACATGAAGCATCTGACGTCACCGACGAGCGTCTCCGTCCATTACTACGCAGCTTCGATTCACGTAACTTCACGTTTGGCTATAAAGGAATTCCACGGTCACATGACCTTAGGTCTCCCCCGCTGAGTTAAAGGAGGACTAGTGTTGTAGTCTCATTCGGACCGATCCCCCAGGGTGGGGTTCAATGACTGCTTTTGAAGGTGAGTGTTAAGTTGTGTTATTGTCGACCATGCCGTTCGGACGCTAGTCTGGCCCGCGTTCGGTTGAAGTGGGCTGCATCTGGCCCGCAGCTGATTTGAGTTTGAGACCCCTGCTCTAGGGAATGCACTTCATCTTATAGAACACATTACTGCCACCTGCAGGCATAAATCAGTACTCAGCAGTGGAGACCAACAGCCAATCACAATGGACCTTCTTTAATTCTCTGATTGGTTGGTTTTGTGGCACAAATGTAACGCTGCTGCAAGTCGAGCGAGCGCAGAGTGAAGAGGTGGAGAGAGCGCAGCAACGGCTGCCTGCGCGCAGAAAACCAGTTTGTGGCGAGGGCACCTGAGTAAACTGCGCGCACGGAATATGTTTTTCTTTGCGAAAATATAGTTCTCAAAACTTAAAATTACGCGCTCAGGATTGTGGCACAAATATAACGCATTAGACGACAACCATTGGGACTGACAGTGCCGCAACATGGTTCCCGCAATTAGACTTACACGCTATGAACACATTAACTGTGTCGCTCACATGGTGCAGAGACGTGTCACAGTGAGTCTTGCTGACAGCGGCTTTGTAAATTCTTTGGCCAAGGCTCGCAAAGTTGTCGGTCATTTTAAGTACAGCCCAGCAAAGGCTGCGGAGCTTCAAGCACAACAAGAGCCACTGATCCAGGATGTTCTTTGGTTTGATGTAAAAGTTGAAAATGTTTTTTTTACACATAAAAACGCAACACATGACTCAAATTGTGCTCATTGAAAATGATTTGACTACATTTATTGCTTTCTGTTCTGAATACTGTAAATTGTACATCCTGGTTAAGAGGAATGCCAAAAAGGAAGCAATGGGACATTACAAAGACAAATATTATGGTGTGTAGTATGTTTCAGCTTGATTTAAACCACCATTATTTGGCTGTGTTAATAAACAGACATAATATGAAAATTATGTATTTGTGTCCTGTTATCTATCTTTTGGTATGCATTTCAGAAAGAAAAAATGGTTAGGATTCAGGTGTAATTGCAAATAGTGATTAATCCACAGAAAATTCTGATTAATTGATTCAAAATTTTAATCATTTGACAGCCCTAGTAATTATGTAATTATGTTTATTTTTATTGTGGAGACCACCAGATATTTGGCTGAATCAAACATTCCACGGAGTGAAGACCCGCTAAAATATTGGGACAAACATGTGTACCCACATCTATTTGTATTAGCACGTAATCTTATGAGTATTCCTGCCTCATCCGTGCCGTGTGAGCACCTTTTTTCTAAGGCAGGGGAAATAGTATCTACAAAAAGAAACCGACTCAACCCAAATACTGTGAAGAAAATTGTGTTTCTCAATAAAAATCAATAATTTCATGCCCCATCCCATGTGTCCACAAGCACCACAATATCCTGTCATAACAAACCTGTCCAAAAGCACAATCACTGCCCCACTGACCTTTCCTCTGTAAATCACTTCCCACATTCCAACAATTCACAGAAGTCCCTATGACTGCTATGAACTGCACATGCAGTAGGAAGCACTGGTATTTTAAATTGTATATAGGAATCCATGTATTTATTAGATGATTTATTGGTTCAACTTTTCATAATCATGTTCAACCCACAGAGACTGGGTCAAAATATACTGGTAGGCTATTTGATACATATGCACTATAGGTTTTCAACAGCAGAGGTCATCATAGTTTGCGATGCACTGAATCAATGAACCTTTTTCCCGATACAATTGGCTGGAAAGCTTCACTTTGCTATCATTACAAAGCAGACCCCAAAAAAGGGTGAATTTAGCCAAAGCAGACCCCAAACAGGGTGAATTTAGCCAAAGGCAAAGCAGCAGTGGTCTCTGGCAGGTTGGCTGGTGTAGTGCTGCTGCTCAATGATCTTTTGCCCGGTCAGGCCGTTTCGGACAATCAGCGTGGGTCAGAGGGATCAACGATACCACGAGAGTTACCAGCGGTGGACATCGAGTGCATCAGGTGGAGAATAGTATGCAGCCATACTAGTGAGCTTCTGGGACACAAAAAACCCTTAAATGAGCACTGGACGGACCACCTGGAAGCGAATACAGCTGCTGCCGACACCCTACCTCTGCCTAACACTCTTAAGACACTGCTCACAATCCTTTGATAAAATCCAGCTGTGTGCGTCTACTCAGTGCTGCTCCAGCTGCTGAATGCCTCTCCTCCTTCTTTTTTTGGTTCACGGGTTAAGGTTTTTAGTTGGCATCAATCTTATTGGTGCATTATCGCCACCTTCTGCCCCGGAATGTGAATCAGACACTATCTTTCTCCCAACATGCCCCTCCCTCCCCAAAAATAAAATAAGAAAAATAAATAAGTAAATCCATCCATCCATCCATTGTCAAACCGCTTATCCTGCACACAGGGTCGCGGGGGGGCTGGAGTCCATCCCAGCCAACTTCGGGCGATAGACAGGGTACACCCTGGATTGGTCGCCAGCCAATCGCAGGGCTACACAGAGACACACAACCATTCACATTCACACAACTACGGGCAATTTAGAGTCCCCAATCAACCTGATCCCCAGAGCATGTCTTTGGACTGTGGGAGGAAGCCGGAGAACCCGGAGAGAACCCACGCAGACACGGGGAGAACATGCAGACTCCACACAGAAAGGCCACTGGGTGGAATCGAACCCAGGACCTTCTTGCTGTGAGGCAACAGTGCTAACCACCACGCCACCGTGCCGCCCTTAAAGAAGTAAATAAAAATAAGAAATAAAAATAAACACATTTATCCACACACACACACACACAAATCAACTCAGCTAAAATGACAAAACAAGACAGTTATTGAAATAAATTTGAATGCACATGAGCAGGAGTCCAGTTAATAATGCATCAATATTCATCCTCAGGACGACATTTAATTCAGTACAAGACGACCAAAATGAAAAGTATCTGCCTCTCACCGTGGCAGTTCCTTGTTTGTCATGTTTCCACATGTTCAGTGGGTGGTGCGACTCTGAGTGAGGTGAGAAACCGTTATTTAGCTTTGTGGCTCTAACAGATGAATAAGAAGAAGTGGGGAGTATCTTACACCCAATAAATTCTGAGAACTTAAGAACAGGGGAAGTTGTTTAGTCAGACACTGCAGTACTCTCACTTGTGAAGTACAACTTTCTGCAATAAAATTCATTAGGAAATGCCATTTTCAACTCAAAGAATATGTTATGTGTGCGAGGGATGAGACAATGTAGGATTGCATAAGATATTCCATTAAAGAATAAAGAAGTAATATCATGTACAAAGGCGCAGACTCACGCAAAATGTTTTTTTAAGTTCACTAAAACCGATAATGGGCGGCACGGTGGTGTGGTGATTAGCACTGTCGCCTCACAGCAAGAAGGTTGTGGGTTCAACTCTACCCAGTGGCCTTTCTGTGTGGAGTCTGCGTGGGTTCCCTCCAGGTGCTCCGGCTTCCTCGCACAGCCCCCCCCCCCCCCCCCTGCAACGCTGTGTGACGGATAAGTGCTTTGAAGATAGATGGATGGACTAAAACAGTTGCCACATTGGTATGGAACGGCCAAATGTTATGGGAGGCTCTCCGCTCGCAGCCTTTTCTTAAGCAGAATGCACCCCCCCCACCCCCACTGGCAAAGGCCTGTCGCCGTTCCTGGAAGTCCTGCAGCTTGCCGGACATTATGCTGAGCATTAGGAAGATGTTCAAAATGGTCAGGACGCACTAAGAAGGACAAGGAAACAGGAGAGACTGGACGACGGCCAGCTGACCATATAAAACACAATGGCAAACGGGGCGCGGGGACGGAGGCAAGGACGAGGCAGAGACACGTTCCAAAACAGCGCAATTGTCCCACGTGATGATTTGAGGTTTCTAGTCCACATACCATTTTGTTCAGTAGTTGATTTGGCGAATGCATTTTTCTCCATGCCCGTCCATCCTGAGTGTGAATGTTGGTTGGCATTCACCTTCCAGGGGCGTAGCTACACCTGAGCAAGATGTGCACAAGGATACTCATGTCAAACTTTCATCTGCAGCTGAGCCTAAATTTACAAAACTAACTTCCTATCAGGTTAGATGACGACATGTGGATGACCTCATGGTGGCTAGGCCCTCAGAAGAAGCATGCAAAACAAGACACAGTTGCACTTTTGACCTTTCTGGCTAACAATGGTCACAAAGCCAGCTCTAAACTTCAACTTGTCCAGACAAAAATAACGTATCTGGGACATCTGATCACAGCAGCGGGATATTCCCTCTCCAAAACGCCAAAAACAAAGAAACAAGTGTTTCCCAGGAATGACGTCATACTGCAGACAGTGGATCCTTAACTTAGAACTGTCCATGGCAAACAATTGACAGCTCGATGCAAAATAACCTGGACCCCAGAAGCAACGAAGGCCTTTGTAGAATTGAACCGTAGTATTGAGAATACTCTTGGCTTACCAAATCCAAACAAGCCATTGGTCCAATTTGTCGACCAAAGGGGTGGATACGCGACCTCTGTCTTGTGTCAGAAACATGGGGATAAACGCAGACCTGTTGCTTGTTTTTCTTCTACAAAACTGGATCCAGTAGCAGCAGGCCTGCCCCTCTGCCTCAGAGCTGTAGCAGCTGCAGAGAAGGCAGTTACAGCCTCTAGAGATTTAGTAGGATATTTCGACCTCATGGTTCCGCATGCTTTAGCTCACATTCTACACACACAAAAGACATCTCACTTGTCAGCGCAGCGGTGGTTGAGATGTCACACCACATTGTTGAAAATGCCCAACGTCACAGTAAAACGCTGTTCCAGTCTAAATCCTGCTTCTCTTCTCCCGACACAGAAAGATGGCGATAACACAGAAACTTTTCATGACTGTGTGCAGATTCTGGGTGAGGAGTGTTTGCCAAGGGTTGATCTCTCAGACACACCTCTCCCAAACGCTGACCTTGAGTTGTTTGTGAATGGTTCTGCATCAAGAAATAAGACGGGCAACAATCAAACAGGTTTTGCTGTTGTCACCCAACATGCTATTGTAGGATCACCATCTAATTTTTCAGCACAAGCTGCAGAGTTAATAGCACTCATGAGGCATTTAAACACGCCGAGGGCAGAACAACCAACATCTATACAAACTCTCGTTATGCGTTTGGAGTGGTCCATGACTTTGGTGCCATTTGGCGACTCAGAGGTTTCCTCACCTCCTCTGGAAACCTGTAGCTAATCATCACCTTATTTCAGATCTTTTGAATGCTATAATGTTGCCAGGAAGGTGATGAAATGTGATGCTCATCTCAGTAGGTCCCCACCATCCAACCACTAGTTACTTCTGCACAGAAGGCGCTGTGGGCAAAAGCTGGAGCCACATTTTTGAAAAAAAATTTGGTTTGCCTGATTCAAAGCAGTGTTTCCCACAGGCTGCCTTTCCATTTCATGCTAAGCTAGCACATGGAACAGACCCGTGGGCAAGGGAGTGTTAGGGGGTGTAGTTGGTGGACCCAAATGCACACGCACAGCAGTTTGATTTGTAGCCAATGATTTTATTTCCCATACAACCTGGGACGTGAACAACTTCTCCACCAATGTCTTGCGGCCTTGGGGGATAAGGCAGGATTCCAGTGTGGATACCGGAGGTCCGACATCATAACCAGAGTTGGATTAAAACGAGTCACGTGTACTCCGTGGTACTCCGCGGGTCTGACACTGCAGGACAAAAAGCAAAAAAAAGCAAACTGGTTAGCTACGTCTGTTCCGTTTTCTCCCCCCCCACGGAAAGGGCAACCCGGCACACATAGGACTTTACTCAAGATTCCTCATTTGTTTGTTTATTTCTTAAAAGGGGGAACCAGGTAAAAACCTGGAATAATAAGAAATGCAATACTTCAATTTCCATGTGCACACCACAACCAACACAGCTCCCCAGTTCTTTATCTTAATAACATTATTCAAAAATACAAATAAACATTATTAATATACTATAATCCACCAGCATCAGTTTCGTTATTTGCATGTACACATTCACAATGCATGCAGTCTTTCCTTAGCAGGAAACTACAACTCCCAAAATGCCCCACGGCAAACCAGGAAGTACCTACGTCACATACCAGTCTGGCTTATATGTTTAAAGTATGAAACACAAAGAAAGTAAACACAGCAGCAACACATTAAGGTGACATCAGACAACATGAAGCGTACATTATAAAGGAGACAAGACAACATTGAAAATCAAGAGAGCTTACCAAGTGGCTGCACACCGGGTTGGAAGTCGTTACCAACTAAGTGAATCGCGCTTCCTTTTCACTCAGTAAACACTGGTCACGTGACCTCACAGCACACTCCTCTCTTAAAGGGACACTACACTATTGCCCTGCTACCTCAAAGTTTCTCCATATAATACTGGCATTTATATGTATAGCTCTGGCAGGTAAACATTTGATCACACATGTAAATCCGAAATAACAAAACGTCATGAATTAAAAACTCCACAGAAAACACAACAACGTCTAATAGCGACATTCAACGGCACCTGAGACCAGCCTGGGTACTGGGGCGGACTGACGATGAGCCTCTGAACTCAGGAGCCTTCATGCCCGTCACTGGTGATCCCCGGAAGGAGCCACAGCTGAGCTATTGAGAGAGGGGCGGGACCGGAGGCAGAACACAGGGGTGGAAACTCTAGGTTGACAAAAAACAACAAAACAAAAGCACAGACGGGGAGGCAGATAAACAGATAGGGACCCTAACAGGGAGGGATGAACACAGCTATGAATGCCAATTGGTTTATTAGAGGATTTAAAACTCCCAACTTGTGAAGGAAAGAAATATTGTTTGGTGTTGGTTCAGCAAATGTGTTGAAGTTGTCCTTCCTCAAAACAGGATGCAGGTGCAGTGGCCAAGTTTCTTCTCAGAGAAATCCTTCCACGGTGGGGGATCCCCACGAAACTCATGCGTCCAAGCTGTGAAGGAAATGTCTGATTTTCTTGGTTATGACCTCAAATATCATCGCTCTTATCACCCACAAAGCAGAGGTGCTGTTGAAACATAGGGCTTAGACCAGGGGCTACTTCTCGAGACTCCAAACTCTATGGTGACTGCATGTTGAATCACTGCGTAGGCCTCTCGGCTTCTCTTCCAGCTCTCCATTCACAGGTAAAAGCCACGCTGCCCACACCAGCTGACACACTAGAACACCGCATCAAGCCTGGCGACTGGGTGGTGAGTAAAGACTTCAGGAGGACGCACTGGAAGCAGAGGCAATTCACAGGTCCGTTCTAGGTTCTCCTGATGAGCCAGACCGCTGTGATTGAAGCTATTGAAGCTGCCGACGAGTAGCGTGCTAAGCTACCAACGAACGTGTCGTGGGACCTGACGAACACCAGCCATCTGTTGGAGCTGCCAGCAAGTAGCGTGCTAAGCTACAGTCAAACACATCAGAGGAACCGAACTACAAAGGTCACACACAGAGGCCAGACAGAAGGATTGATGACGTGATATCACTGATGTGTGCTGTGAATTATGTAACCATTTACGGCATATTACTTTAATTACTGTTACTCATTTCCTTCACTTGTGTTTTGATTTTCCCATGCTTATGATAACATGTATGTGCGTTTCAACTATTTCTGTAACATGATTCGACTGTATTGTACATCTTTTACATCATTCCATAATGTGACAACAGTACTGTGATGATCAACCTGATTTCTGTCCAATCCTTCCTTGAGGGATTTCTTCCTTATTTTTTTCCCGTGAACAGGTTTTTCTTTCATGCCTGGTGAATCTTTTTACAATGGTAAATGATTCTAACCATGATGTTGTGCACTGTTATATATTGTAATGTGTTATGGCCATGATTTTTATTTTTTTATTTTCATCTATCTATCTATCCTGTATGATCTGAAGGGGGAGATGTAGAGGGAAAGTGAACTGCACCACTATTGAACCTGTTCCCATGTCATCTGGGGCACACGATGCACAGCTACGGAACTGGAAGTGTTGAGCTTGCGTCCCATCGAACCTTTTGCCTGTGATGGAAAGGCTTATCGGTTAATTGGTTGTGCTGAGTTCCACCAAATCACTTGTATAATGGAAGGTCCCACAGAACTCTTTTCCAGCTAAACCTGAACTGTGTGGATCAACTCATATAATTGATCCACTTGTCCTTGGGAACAGAGACTGAAAAACCCTCTCTGAACATCTCTGTATCATTTAATTGTCTCCCTTTGATGATGATCATTGATTTACTGTCTTCAAGCATATAAAAACCCTGACTGGGATCCTCTCGGTACCGATTCCAGAGCAGTTGGTTGATTGTGAACTGTTCGGCTCAGTCGTTTTGGGCAGAAGTCTGTTAAAATATACAAAGAAAAATTTCTCTTTGTAGGTCTCCCTTTATTCGCTCAAATTTCCACCACAGGGATTTTGTTTGCAAAGTGTAACTTCAGCCCTAAATCAGGAGAGAAATTTAACAGCAAAACAACAACGGAGTGGAGTGTGGATTAAATATAACCCTCAATTTGGCCTTAATCCAAATAATATGGTGTTCAACAGTAGTGGGACAGTTTCCACATATGCGATGAGTTTTACTGGAGACTTGAGTCAGAAAAACTGCTCCACTTTATTTTCCAGTTTAAACACAACATACACAGACACATACTACTCCAGGGTTTAGAACCGTTCATTTCTATCAACAGCTGTTTGTGATTCCTTCTAAATAAGAGTTAAAGGTAAGAGACGTTTCATTCGGAAACAACAGATTAATGACCCGAAGCCCCAAAACATTATTTAATCAACACGTTTTCCTTTCTGAAGGAGACTTTTACTGCTGTAATGATGGAGGAGTTTATTACTGTGTGGCCACCATCAGCTTGAAATCAAAATGCCTTTTCTTAAGTTAAATACATTTTATTTAATCATTGGCTGGTGAATTAATAGACCGTTTTGTTGTGGTTTTAGTACAATACAAGTGTGTGTGAATTATATTTTATCTGCCATTTACAGGAACACCAGCAGTGATATTTGTCTCCACCTCCCAGTTCCTCCTCCTTCCTCTCACAGACCATCTTGGTTCAAAGACCTGTGACTTCTGCATTGAACTTGTCAGACAGCAGACTGCACTGAAGAAGAAACACTCACTCAATGTAAGTTAATGTCACCTTCAATACTTCATTTTTATGGATTTACAATCCTTTTTTATTGAAATATCATCAAGTTACAAGAGATTTCTTTCAAATTATTCACAAACAAGTTTACCGAATGCCTGTTGTATCAATGCAGTGAGAGTGTGCAAAATTTGAATAAATACTTGAGTTGAAGAGGACGTAGAAACTCTGAATGAGGAAATGTTTTAGCTAAAGTCATTTATTCAAAGTTTAAATTGGGGTCGTCGTGGCGCAGGGGTTAGAGAAGGTGTGCTGTGAAGCACAAGGTTGGTGCTTTGATTCCAGGCTGCCCCATG